TGCCTAAGCCCAGGAGTTGGAGGTTGCTGTGAGCTGTGATGAAGTGAGCACTCTACCAAGGGTGATAAAGTGAGCTGGTCTCATCTTTATTGCTGGGATGTAAAGTGATTTCTCTCAAGGGACAAAGGATATTCTGTATTCTGTCAGTTCTTTCAGTTCTTCTTCTCTTCGCTGCTTTTCTATTAGTTCCTGCTGCTGAGAAACCTCATCAAGGAAGTTGGTCTCATCTTTATTGCTGGGATGTAAAGTAAGCAAATTTCATAACAATAAAGACTTTATCTGACTTGGTTGCCTCTGATTCCCCTAGTGCCTGTCATCTATTAGGTCTCAGTAAATATGTGAACAAATTAATGAATTTTTTTCTTTCTTTTTTTTTTTGCAGTTTTTTGGCTGGGGCCAGGTTTGAACTCACTACCTCTGGTACATGGGGCCATCGCCCTACTCCTTGAGCTACACTCCTTGAGCTACAGGTGCCACCCTTAATGAATTTTTTTTTAAAGAGTCTGTCTCTTTAAGGAAAAAAAAAAGAATCTAGACTTTAGGCTGGGTGCCCATAGCTCAATGGTTAAAGCGCTGGTCCCATGCACTGGAGATGGTGGGTTTGAACCCAGCCAGGGCAAAATAAAACAAAAGAATCTAGACTTTAGTCTAAATAAATGTACTGAGAAGGCACTAGAGCATTTCAAATAGAAAAGTAACAAGATGCCATCTATGTTTTTAAAAGTTTCTTTTGTTGTCTGAAGAACAGATTATTGAGGATGAGTAGAAACAGAAACCAATTAGATGGTCAAACAGTCGAGAGGAAAATCTACAACTACTACAGTTGCAGTAGAGACATGTGGAGTACATTTTAGAAGCAGTTTGTGGCCCAGGCACCTGGAGGCATAGCACCATCAGTTACTAGAACTGGAAAGACAAAAAAAAAAAAAAAATCAGACTTTGGGGGAAGGTGGTGTGATGCGAATGGGAGGGATGTGGCACGGAATTGAGAATTCTGAATCAGCCAAGTTACATTCATGACGTCACTATTAAGACATTCAAGCAGATGCCAAAAGGCAACACTGAACCAAGCAAAGTCACCTTTGTTGCCTTCTCGGCCCCTCTGTGGGGAAAGGACATATTGTACCAGTGGACAAGATCTTACTAAGGACAAAGGAAAGTTGTTAAACATATCCTGTTAAAACTGAGAAGCCAATTTCTCCCCTAGTGAGGTGGGTATGCGTTGTCTACCTGTCTCAGAGCCTAATCCCACAGGCGAGTACTGGCTATTAGGATTTATGCCTTTAGTTAATCCTAAAGGAGGTGGACCTTTAACTGCAGTAAACTCTTGCACACAATACAAACTCCCCAAGTCTAGCTAGCTTTTCAGAATCATAGAAAACCAGTGCTGAAAGAGACTTTAGAGAACACCAGGTAGAAAGCCCTCTTTTCACTAATGAGGAAATGGAAATCCAGATATCGATGAGGAAATAGACACCTCACTGATTTCTCTCAAAGTACAAAGGATATTCTGTATTCTGTCAGTTCTTTCAGCTCTTCTTCTCTTCGTTGCTTTTCTATTAGTTCCTGCTGCCGAGAAACCTCATCAAGGAAGTTGGTCTCATCTTCATCTAAGCCTCTCACCATGTTTTCTGAGGAAATAATTAAACAAGGAACACTTAGTAGGCTAAAGGGAAAAATAAGATTTTTCCTTTTCCTGTTTTTAATAAACAGCAGATTCTTCAGGGAATAAAAAGAAAGAACTGGTAAACACCATGGCTTTAGGATAGATAACATGGCATAAAAAAAATCACAGCATTTTACCCATTACTAGAAATTAGCACAGAATTAAAATGGGTATCTTGAGCCTTAAACAAAAATGTTCAATGTGGTCTAGAAGGCAGGAGGTTTCTTTCTTCTACCAAATGAGCACCTGGAGAACGGGCAATCAAGACAATAAGGTGGCAAGTAGGAAAAGCGTTGCACGAGGCAAAAGTGCATCAGAAAGACCCCGTGGAGTCCCTTTCACTGTATTTTCTGAAGCTTACTGAATTTGAACTGCTCCTCGTACTCCTGCTGCTTCCTGTCTTTCTGTTCCTGCAGCCTTTCATATAGAGACCGAGGGTCATAAACCTCCTCTGGACATTCTGAAAAAAAATGGGGGGGGAGAAAGAATTTTTTAAATATTATTTTGGAATCAAAAAGCATTTTGAAGGTAAAGTCTCTGCATGATCTGAATGTGAGGATAACACAAAAATAGTACAAAGTCCACAGCTGTCTTTGGACCTCAGAGAGGGGCCAGCAGTTCTTAAAGCCAATTATCAATGTCAAAGGGCCAATGGCCTGAGACAGGTAACTGATTAAGAGGCCAGCTCAAACCCTCCACTGCAGCAGTGTTCTGACCATGGGTCCACCGTGTAGATGGAGAAGACTAGCAGAATCTCCTGGAAGGCAGAGTGGTAGATAGGAAAGGGCAAGGTTATGAGTATCCTGGTTCTGCTCCTAGCTATGGAGGGCCTTGCATAGGTTACTTCACCCCTCTGAGTCTCAGTTCCTCAACTCTAAAGTGAGGACAATTTATATCTACTTTGCAGGGCTGTTGTAAGGCAAGGACAGGCATACTGAATATCAAACTATAAGCCTATATACCTTCCGGATCTTCAGGTTTTCGAACTTTCTCCCATTCTTCTTGCCTCTTTTTGCGCCGTTCATCTAGTTCTGCCTGAGACACAAACCTCTTTTTGATAACAAGGTTACCGTCATCCCCTCCATCCATAATGGAACAATCAACCTATAAAACAAAAATGCATTTCAAGTAAGAACTTCAATTAAAATTCAAAAGAGAAATAGGGAGAATTACTTGTCTTACCCAGCAACAGGCTAAAAATTCTCTTCCAACTTTGAACTGAAAAAAAATCCTCAAATAGCTAAATTTATAGATTACTGACGAAAACATTCAATTAAGGAATTTTCACACATCGGGTGGTCTTTATGTACATCAATGTTATCTACAAAGTCAGCGAGAAGACCTGGAATAATCCTCATTACCAGGTGTTTCACAGTCAAACTCATATTGCAGGTATTTCTCTGTCCCACTGATCCAGACAAACTGGCCACCTGGGCACCCTATCCTTTACCCAGTTCTCATCCTCCTTTCTCTTTTCTTTTCTTTTCTTTTCTTTTTCTTTTGGAGACCAGAGTCTCAAGCTGTTGCCCTGGGTAGAATGCCATGGCGTCACATCTCATGGCAACCTCCACCTCTTGGGCTCAAGTGATCCTCTTGCCTCACTTTTTCCATTTTTAGTAGAGATGGAGGTCTTGCTTTTGCTCAGGCTGGTCTTGAACTCTTGAGCTCAAGCAATCCATCCACCTTGGCCTCCCAGAGTATTAGGATTACAGGCGTGAGCCACCGCACATGGCTTCATCCTCCTTTTTCTGTAACATCTGACATTGTTCCTTCTTGAAATTCATGTTTCTAGGACACTACACTATCTTGATTCACCGGCTCTTGCTTCTAAGTAGCCTCAGATGGAGTATCTCATGAATTAAAAGAGCCTTAGTGATTGAGTCCAGTTTGGCCAGCAGGGAAGGTGTACAAACCAAGGGTGAAGGTGAGACTGGAGGAACCCAGATCTCCCAACTTTCAATTCAACATACTTTCTTGTATACCAAGCTGATGCCTCCTTTATATCTTTCCTGTCCTTCCTCCCTATAAAAACTCCTTGTCTGTGCCACTTGAGAGTCTACAATCTTTCTCTTTTCTCACTCCCACAGTAATTTCAACCACTTTATGCATATTTTGATGCAGAAGATTCCCAAATCTATTATTTCTACCTGAACCTCTCTTCAGAGAAAAGGGGAGAAAGAAATACAGAAGAGAGTGTATTACTCCTTTCAAAATACATCTTTCTGCTTTTCTTTACTTGTTTCTTTCTGTTTGAAGAACTGCAGGATTAGGTTATATTATTCACAGCATTATGTGCCAACAAGTAGCCACCTATTCAACCCAATGTCCATTCCAAAGTGACCTTTAACACCAAAATAATAAATTTCTATTGCTACTACAAAAATAAAATTCTTACCAGGCACCAAATACTTTTAATGCTCATTACCTCATTTATATGCACACTAACCCTATGGGAAGTATTATCTGTTTACAGATGAAGGTAGGTCACTTGTCCAGGGTGATAAAGGTGGTGAATGGTACAGCTGAGACTCAAATCCAGGCCTGACATCAAAAGTTCATATTCTTACTTCACCAGACTTCCCCACGCCCCACCCAGAAACCACCAAATCTTAGTTGAAAACAAGGACATGTCAATCTCAGCTTTCTTCCTACTTCCAACTTCTAGTGCTAAATGTTCATGCAGTGTTTTTACTCAGTAAAGATGGAAGCTGAGGGACAAAACCCCAACATTCAGAACAAGAGAAGAATAGTCTCAGCCTGAGTATTACTGTTGCTGAAGTTTAGGTCAATGTAACAATAATAAGAAATAATTTTAAACATAACTAGAAAGAAAACCATAGCAACTGATAGCAGCTATTGCTCCCACCTAAAGCCCACAACCTGGACACTCCTGATGCAGCATCACTCAAGTCTCCAGCTAGACGCTTATTACAGAAGCAGAATTATTCAGTCTCTGTGATCATGCCAAAAATTCCTCAAGTTCTAAAGAACAACCTTAGCCAATAATTTCTTAAATGTCTCTGGCAGAAAAACTGAATTTCATAGGACTCTAATGGATGGGAAAAACACAGTGATCCTAAATTTTCCCCTTTCTTATCCTCTAACAGCTACAGCTCTCCCTTCTTAACCTACATTTGCTATCTGGTTTCTTTCCCTCCCCCCTATTTCCTGGTACATAATTCAGAGCAGGCAGGTCCTTTTAGCCCACCTAATATGATACTCTACCCAACTGAAATAAAAACAATTTTTTATTTTTGGAGACAGTCTCACTTTGTTGCCCAGACTGGTGTGCTATGGCATTAGTCTACCACACATATCCAGGAGACTGTCATCCAACTCATATACTAAAACTTCAAAATGGATCACTGTACCCTCTTCATGGGCAGGCAACTCCCTCTCTGAGTAAACCTGTGAGGACAGTTGCTGTTTAAAGTGAACTGAGCCAGACACAGTGGCTCACACCTGTAACCCTAGCACTCTGGGAGGCTGAGGCAGGTGTAGTGCCTGAGCTCAGAAGTTTGAGACCAGCCTGAGCTAGAGGGAAACTCCATCTCTAAAAATAGCCCAGCAGCCTAGTGCCTACAGCTCAAGCGGCTAAGGCACCAGCCATATACACCTAAGCTGGTGGGTTCGAATCCAGCCTGGGCCCATCAAACAACAGTGACAGCTGCACCCAAAAAATAGCTGGGAGTTGTGGCAGGTGCCTATAGTCCCAGCTACTTGGGAGGCGGAGGCAGGAGAATTGCTTGAGCCCAGGAGTTAGAGGTTGCTGTGAGCTGTGATG